GTGGCTTGGGATTTTCCAGTGCTTCTGGTGTCCACCCTCAGAGGTTCTGGTGTCTCACCTGTATCTCATTCATGAGCAATCAGCAGGAGGGTTATTTTGGCCAGCACTGCCTCCCACTCATCCAGCTACCTCTTAGTGATAACTAGGCCTCCCTTATGGTTAGCTTCATCCCAATTTTCTTCATGTGCAACTTTGTTTCTATGCGCTTCAGCTCCTGGTCGCAGTCTCCCAGATCGACCCTCGGTTGCCATTCTTTTTCCAGCGCTGGTCCTGCTTGCTTTCCTCACCTGCAAACTGCTCTCAGAATCCATAACCTTGCTTACCTGCATGCCCTCCCGCCCATCATGCCTTTACTAGACCCCTCTGGAGAATCTGGAAAACGGACTTTCCACCGTTTTCAGTGTTCATGCCCTGCTCTGGACACTCCCACAGGTACCCTCCCCGAAGCGTCTCAATTTTGGCCTGCAAAACACCCTTCAGTCAGCACTCACCTCCAGCTTTCCTCTATCACCTTACCAGTCCAGAAATCTTCCTCTCCTCTGTTTCAGAGTTCTCGTTCTCCACCAGTGACTCCTCGTGATAATCTGCTCTCTGCTGGCATCTCCTCATGTGTATTCATGTTTAGCAAGATTCCACTCTCGCTGTGTAAATAAAGACTTGTGAAAAGTTAAGTGAGTTATTGAGTCTGCTTTTGGGTCTGAATCTTGCTTGAACCTCTGGTTCATGACAGTTTATAAATATATACACATGAAGTTGTTTAGTCACAAAACTAAATAAATAAAAGAGGATCTAACCCCATCGCCTTACCCTTAACCAAATCTCTATGCAGAAGTTGTAAGGGAGGGATATTACTTTTGGTTGTGCAATTTTTTGACTTTCATTTATAATCTGCTTGTACTCTGAGTTTTACTGACCAATCCCATTTTAGAATGATTTGGTCTCATACAAGTAAACAGTCTGTGTAGAAAACAATGGAGGGCATGCCTTGAGGCAGTGGTTAAGACAATGCGAATCTAAAGAGGAACTTTAAGATAACACCTAATACTCCAGAGAACTGCCTG